AGGCTCAGGTTACGCCGTGCCAGGAAAAATGATCAGCCTCTACCTGATTCTCCTACTTCTGCCTGGTGCCACCACGGAGATCAGCCAACCTGATAATCCCCATACACCTTGGAACCAAACCTGGATCATCATCTCTGGAGGGTCCAACCCTAACAGGATAATTAGCAGAATCTCGTCTGTGGCCCCACGAGACACCTGGTTCCCCGATCTATATGTAGACCTTTGTGATCTAGGGGGACGGATGTGGGGACCTTCTGGAAACGATCCTGACATTCTCCCAAATGGCAAGGAGCTCTCAGCATTCGCTGTAGGATGTGACACACCTGGAGGATGCGCCAAAGCAAGGCAACTGCAATTTTATGTTTGTCCTGGCCACTCTATGACCAAAGGACGGCGTCAGAAATGCGGAGGAGAAAACTACGCTTTCTGTGGCAGTTGGGGATGTGAGTCAACTGGATCAATAAGCTGGGACCCCCCAACAAAAGGAGACTTTATCACGGTACAGCGGGTAGGAGATATGTCCATTCCAGGGATTGGGTGGTGTGGAAATCAGCACTGTGGAAATTGCTATGATATAGAACGCTTTTCCGCTTATGCTGGGGCTAGACGTGGTGGGCACTGCAACCCCCTAATCATTCGGTTTACAGAGGCTGGTAAGCAGGCAGATTGGACCACTGGAAAGACATGGGGACTGCATTTACACCCAGGGTCAGGCCAGCTAACTTTTACCATAAAGCGTACCCTCACACCAGTGGAAACAGTAGCAGTGGGACCCGACCGAGTACTTAACCCCACAGTAACACCAAGTCTAACCAAATCCGCCCTGATTTCTGCCAAAGGTCTAACTGTTGCACCTAATAAACCTGCAGAACAGCCCCTCTCCCCTCCGATTCCATCGGATGAGAGTCCCCTGTACACCTTCCTTCAGAAATCTTTCTTGCTTTTGAATGCTTCCAAGCCTGAATTAACTGTTTCATGTTGGCTTTGTTACGATGCACGACCCCCTTTTTACGAGGGAAACTGCAATAGAGGGCAATTATACAATGACTAGCAAACCACAGGAATGCCGATGGCAGGCTAAGGCCTCACTAACTATCCAGCAGGTACAGGCCCAAGGCGTCTGCGTAGGGACAGTGCCAACCAAGTACCAGGCCCATTGTAATAATACCCAACCCCTCCCTGACCAGGACGTTTACCTGCAGCCTCCTGATAATACTTGGTGGGCATGTTCCACGGGACTAACTCCCTGTGCACATGTTCTGGTCCTCAATAGAACTAAGGGCTTTTGTATAATGATCCGGCTTCTGCCACGGCTGATATACTATTCTGAGGAAGAGCTAGAAAGTCTTGCCGGACCAGTAAGCCTCCGCAGGTAAAAAAAAGAGAGCCCTTAACTGCCCTCACATTAAGCATACTGTTAGGGACCAGTATTGCTGGGCTAGGAACAGGGGCTGCCGCCTTGGTCCAACAACAACAACACTACTCTAGTTTACGTGAGTCTATAGACGAGGACATAGAAAAACTAGAATTTCAGATAACTCACCTCCAAGAGTCCCTGACCTCCCTAGCAGAAGTCGTCTTACAAAATAGGAGAGGACTAGACTTAATATTCTTAAAAGAAAAAAGACTATGTGCTGCTTTAGGCGAAGAATGTTGCTTCTATATAGACCACTCGGGAGTAATAAAGGACTCAGTAGCCAAGGTCTGAGAGGGTATAGCCCAATGAAAGAGGGAACGAGAGGACAACCAGGGATGGTTTGAGGCCTGGTATTCTAAATCTCCCTGGTTCACTACCTTAATTTCCAGTATCCTTGGTCCCCTTATTCTTCTGATACTGCTGTTGATATTTGGG